CCACTGAGCTAAATCCCTGGCCCCCTTTCTAGTCATTTCTGATAGTGCTGAGTGGAGAATATCACAAAAGAACTCTCTCCAGGGCAGAGAGGTGTACAGAGATACACGTGGTTTTTGGATGACTGCAGAGGTCTGTGATAACCATGTGATGCTTTCTGAGAAGCTTTGAAATGTAACCTTTGCCCTCTCAAAAGGGTGCTTTCTTTTTTTTTGGTACCTGGGATCGAACTTGGGACCTTGTGCTTGCAAGGCAGGCAGTGGTACCACTGAGCTAAATCCTGGCCCAAAAGGTTGCTTTCTGTCTGGCTGCCTTACTTGATCATTTGCTGTCCTCATAATTATATTTAAAGTAGCATCTGTGATTTTTTTTTTCTCTGAAGGAATAAATACTTCCTAACATTTTCTTATTTTACATTTTGACTGGCAAGCTTGATTTTATCTCTTTTCCCTTCATACCTACTATATAAACTATGTGTTTCTTGTTCAAACAAACCTTGGGATCAGTCAACTTAGCACATCTAAATTGATGGGTGACAGGCACAAAAACATTAGAAAAAAAATCTGCTAAAAAACAGAAGAGAGGAAATGTTTTAAAAAGTGCTCTAAGCCCAGCATGGTGGTGGCATTCCTGTAATTCCAGTGCTTAGAAGGCTAAGGGTCACTGTGACTTCAAGGTTTGCTTGGGCTATGGTGAGTTCAAGTCCAGCCTGAACTACACAGCAAAACAAAACAAAAATAATTAAGTCCACATATACATTAATATAGATGTTTTTCACTTTAACTTCCTTCTAAATTGCAGAGGCCAGCAATGAACTCCACTGGCCTCATTAGCGTCTTGCTCTACTTCAGTCCTGTTGTACAGGGACTCTGGGCTCACAGGAAACTGCTCTGCAGCTTGGCCACAGCCGAGTCCTCACTCCACTGACCCACTTAACACACGCGCTGAGACAGACATGCAGTGTCTGTCCTTGTTATTCCCACTGTCGACAAATCCACGGTTCCCAAGATTGGCCTAGTATGAAGAATGTTCATCTTTTTTTTGGAAACACAAAGCTCCCATTCACCTTATCTTTTTAGTTTACTGCAATCCTATTTCTTGCTTTGTTTTACTTTTGTCTGCCAACATGCACTTAAAAATCATGCAGACATACTGAAAAGAAACGCAGTGCAACTTACTGTAGGTGGGGATGACTGGACTCTTTTGCTATGACACCTGAGTCATGTAATAAACTAAAATGCAGAGCAAGCACAAGAATCATCCTTTAATCAGTATCTTTAAAAAATTATTCTCAGCTAAGAAGAAACTGTGTACCTACAGAACTTGGTGACTCAAAGGCCGATATCACTTCATTTTGAAAAAGATCTGGTTTTAAAAAGCAAAACAACCTAACCCTCTGCTTTCCTCCCCAGAAAAGAATGATTTTCCTGTTGATTAAATGTTTACTGTAGAAAATAAAAACCAAAGAAGAAACAGAAAAACACTTACATTTTTAAAAAGAGCCTTTAAGACAATATATTGAATGTAAGAGTGCTTTATTACCCAGAAGGCCCTGCACCAATGCAAGGTAGGGTTAGAACCACCTCTGATACCAGGCAGATGACCCCTATAAATCTCCTGAAGCTTCGCGCAGGTGTCTAGGGTTGTCACTAGGCCCACAGCTGTAGCAGTCAGCACAAGAAGTAAACCACAGAGCAAGCAAAGAAGCGCATAAGTCCTTGAATGGAGTTGCCACCCAAAGCCATCGCTGCAGGCACGCCTTGAAGCTGCCCTTGGGCACTCCCGTGACACTTCCTAGGAAGATTCATGCTGGGTGGGGAATGAGCGCATTGGCCCCTATAACCCCCCAGAGGAGCAGTCTCTTCTTTCCACTGCAGAAATTCTAATCCCGAACAACTTCTGTGTTTATATCAACGGGAATGTCTCCCTACAACTATGAAGTGTCCTCTTCTGTACTGGAGAATTACTTTAATAAACGTCTTTGCTGCACAACACACCTTTGAGTACACGAAGACCGTTAGGTTACATTCACTCCCCTCTCCACATCTTCCTGCAGATTAAAAAAAGCTGCAGATGGGAAAACTGGTGTCCTGACCTCCTCCATTCTGCCTCAAACATTCACTGAATGCACCATTGGTGGGGGAGGCACACACAGGCCTCAGCTGCTACCCTTGAGGAGATGCAAATCAGCAGCAACAATCTGTCAATAAACACGTGTGCCCGCTATGCATCAGCATCGTAATGACTGACCTTGTTCTAGATAGGAGAAAGATCCATGTGTTTTGCCAGAAATATGAGAAAACGCTTTATAAGGATTTCTTTCTTTCTTTTTTTTTGGGGGGGGGTACCGGGGATCGAACTTATAAGGATTTCTTAAAAGCATCAAGATCGACTCTAACATCGGGACTGCTGCAAAATTACCTCAGCTAGGTACTGATGTTAAAATCAATTTTCCAACTTACGATATCATTAAGAACCCAGAATGAACGATCTTTGTGAGTAAAAGAATTAAAAAGATCCCACAATAAAATGATCTAATTCCTGAAAAAACTGTTAGACTAATACCTTTAAATGTGTTACAGTAAGTTTGCTGCACATAAACAATTGTCTTGTACTCTAAATTGCACATTCACCTAAATTAGAAACTACACTTACTATAATGTGCTACAGAGAAGCAATAAACGCTACGGTGTTTCAGTAATGTGTATTATATTGCACACATGTATATAAAGAATCACGAGTCCTAAAGCCTTCTTTCAAACATATTTGGAATATTCGGCCATTTGGATAAACAGCCAAAACAAATACACAAATTTCAGAACATTTTTGGAGGTAAAAGTCAATGAAGTGAACTTTTTTCCTCTACAACTATACCTCGAGAAAATGCAGGAAAACCCCCTAAATGCAAAAAAAGAAAAAAAATCATTGAATAAAGTAAAGTGCTCTTTCAATTTCAAATGTAACAGTTTTTGAACGGTGGTTCCAGCCTTAACACTCTTACAGGTTTCTGGAGATGCGCAATCTAGTATCATAGCCTGGGAATTAGCGTGCTGTTACAAAACCAACAACTGCCGCCTAGCTCCCAGAGCGCGGTTATATTTTCTCTTAGGGCCCCTATACTTTCATTAGTGGACTCGATCGTGTTGCTCAATCTGCCAAAGCTTGAAATTAAACAAACCAGGTCAGCGTGAAAACGCAAGTTAGAGAAACTAGAGTAACTCACTGCAGGGACCGCAGCTCCGCGGCCAAGCCGGGAGCTCTGCGCATCCGTGCATTACGCTCCGTCTCGGGGAGCCCCAGTGAACCCTTAATGAGGGTAAAACTCGAGCCCCCTCCCAAGCTTCGGAAAGGGGCAGGGCCGACAGAGGACTTACGCCGAAGGTTGCCGGGTCTCAGGGCGCGCGGTGCGTCGGGGGGCCCCTCGCCCGTAGGGCGGCAGGAGG